AGGATGTTTTAGTGCGAATTGCCGAAAACACGCAAACAAGCACACGCCGAATTTCATCAGCTACTGGTGTAAGTCAGCCTTCCGTCTTCAGAATACTCCACAAAGAAAAATTGTATCCTTACCATTTTCGTCCGGTTCAACAGTTGATGCCACAAGATCCTCCTGGTAGATTTCGGTTCGCACAGTTTCTTCGTCGGCAACAAAATGCTGACCCTACATTTTATAATAAAATATTGTTTACGGACGAAGCTACATTTACCCGGCGCGGTGTATTTAATTGGAGAAATAGCCATTCCTGGGAACTGGAAAATCCTCACTTGCCACGAGAACAACATTTTCAGCATGAATTCTCAATAAATATTTGGTGTGGAATACTTTCCGATAACATTTTGGGACCATTTGTGTTACCCCGTCCACTTAATGGGGAAAATTATTTAAATTTTTTAACAAATGACTTGCCACTCGTTCTTGAAAATATCCCCTTAAATTTACGGCAAACCTTTTGGTTTATGCATGATGGTGCTCCCGCACATTACTCCCGACCAGTAAGAGAATATCTTGATATAAGTTTTCGAAACCGTTGGATTGGTCGCGGCAGCGAAGTGCCTTGGCCTGCGCGTAGCCCTGATTTAAATCCCCTAGATTTTTATTTCTGGGGTAACGTTAAATCTTTAGTTTATAAAGATGTTATACATACTCGAGAAGAGCTGTGGGCAAAAATACAAGAATCTGTTAACATTATCAGAGACCAACAAAGAAGTCTATTCAGTGTCAGACAAAATTTTAACGAGAGAATAAAAAAATGTATTGAAAACAATGGTCGCCACTTTGAGAATCTTTTGTAATTAGACTTAAGCATAATAAAATTTTCAGTTGTTACTGTGTTTGTCTTAATTCGTAATTAAGTCATCTTATTTAAAGGCGTACGTTCAAACAAATAATTTTGTAAAGAAATAGTAAATCGTTCTTATTTCGAAAACGGTTAAGTTTATCGATTTTTAACAGGTATATCTTTTTTATTTAGAATTGAACGTAGTTTAATAATTTCTTATTGGAAATTCAGATTTTTGAAGGACAAAAAAGTTTGACATATGTTTACTCCGACGGAACACTACAACTAGCGCATCCTAGATGTGATTGCAAAATAGTTACCATTTCCGTAATTACCACCTCAGAAAACATAGGTGTACAAACTTTCAAGACAATCCGTTCAAAGATGCTCAAGATATTTAAAAAAATCGAAAATATTTTTTCAACTTTCACACCCTGTAGATCGAAAAGGAGCAACATTCGGATAAGGCATATTTGGCTTAATCGCTCTATTTTGAGGTCAGCAACATGCCCTTAAGCTCTGTCCCATTATTAATGAATCACCCTGCATAATAAGGCTGTTCCTGAAATGTTGCAAGTGTGATTTAAAGCAGATTGTTGAATAAGAATAAAATAATTGAGACCAAACTGCTTATACAAAAGTCAACGTCTGCTGAGTTACCGCAAATTATCATGTAACTTTAAAATAATCTATGCTAGAATTGTTACTTGGTACAGTTAATATATTATCTGAGTTGATCAATACCTATATCTTGAAAATATGTTAATATAATTAAATACTTACACATCCCAGTATTCGTTTTAATCATATATTCTATTATTAGCTTTCATATTTTTACTTTATTATAAAATTACGAAGCTAATTCAAATAGATTCTAAAAGTTTTTTCTCAAGAACACAAAAATGTTATTTTGTGTAAGAGAAAACATACCCTATTTTGCAAGATCCAAAAGAAGGTGTTCTTGATAAAAGTTTTTGCTTGTTTAGAAAATACGAATCATCATGATGATCTTTAATTTTATTGTACAGGGTGGGTCAAAAACACAAAAATGTTATTTTGTGTAAGAGTAAACATACTTTATTTTGCAAGATACGAAAAAAGGCAATTTTGATAAAAGTTTTTGCCTGATATATAATAAATAAGAGTGATATCAAATATTTAATTAAATGTTCTCTATCACACATTTAATCAGACATTTAAGGACATACTTGTCATTGTCTTTATTTAATTAAGTAATTATTGAATGTAAAATAGTTCTCGCAGAAATTTGTATCAAGAATACCTTTTTGGATCTTGCAAAATAGGGTATGTTTACTCTTACGCAAAATAACATTTTTGTGTTTTTGACCCACCATGTACAACAAAATTGAAGTTTGTCATGGCGATTCGTGTTTTCTAAGCAAGCAAAAACTTTTATCAATAATGCCTTTTTTCACTTTTTGGTCCATTTGTGCTCTTGTAAACTCAATCTGCGGACATACTGTATACTGGGCGCTTTACTTGAATTTGATAAAAATAAAAATACGACAAATGGTCATAAGTGTAAAAAGTGCAGTAAAATAAACATGCAGAGCTCTAATAATGTTTGTTTAAGATCGTTGAAAAATTAGGAAGTTGCTACAATCCAGATATAATTTTATTTGGCAAGTAGGTGCATACTTGGCCAGAATGGTCGGACAAGTAATTGCATTCATTTATAAAAAATAACATTATTCCATCGAAAATGTGCCGTAGTTTAAAATCGAATTCAAGAACTTAAAACATTATCGATAATAATGAGAATTAGCTCGAAGACCAGTTGATATTCCAATAGGATGGAGCTCTCCCACACCAGTGGACTGGGAAAAGAGGCGTCATAGAATGGCCTGCATGATCACCGGATTTGTCTCGTTTGGACTTTTTTTGTGGGGTCACTTAAAGTCCAAATTTGTTCTCTACTTTAGTAAATGGCAATGAGTGGTGTTACGCCTAACGTATTTTGATTTGTTCATATGTTCGTAAGTGAAAATTTAATAAATATCAAGAGGGAGATTATGTATGTCGGAGGGTGGTGGAACTGTTTTTCCACCGCGGCACTTAGGCCTTATTAAGCCCCTTGTACACCCTCCTTCATTAGTCGAGTACTTTTCTTCAAACCATCCTATTTATTACACGGGTGGCTTGGTGGCAAAGTCTCGTACAGTACAGTTTATGTATGATCTTGAGTTACAGAGATTTTCTTTGCTCTGTTCTCATTACCATTTATCGGGGACCACACGCATGCGGAAAATGTTGAGCGACCCAGGTCTCTGGTAGGCTGCCACAGCCACGTCCCCGAGCCTGCTTTAGGTTACCCATCCAAATTCCAGCCTGCGTCCGTGATGCTTACCTCGACAGATCAAAATCCACCGACCAAGACACCCGGCTAGGCGGTCCTAAGAAGGGGATTATATTTTACTTCGTAATTCTTTACCATCTTATTAATTGAATATTATCTTCCTCACCCCAAGACATTTCTGCAGTAGATTTCTCTGTATGCGTTTTAATGGATCCAGCCACTAGCCGAGTATGTTGCGATTCGAAAATAAGTTCAGCAATATCAGTAACATCCACAAAAGCAAAATCTTCATCAATAAAAATATCTGGATTGTAAGGATAGAACCCAGTTGCTTGAAATTATTTCTGACTGATAGATACGGTCATGTGCGTGTCTACTCTGAGATATTTGTATCTGTTTGCTCTGTTAGTTGCAGAACTTTTTCGTTTTCAGCTTGACATTGCACTGCAATACTTTTACGGGCCTCTATTACGAAGTATTTGGACAGTTTATAAAAGGACTCGTCGTTTTTATATTGATCTATCAGAAAACTTGCATGCATACATCTGTATATACATTTTCACTTTCCTGTACAGCACCATATATGTAGTTTTTATGTCAGAATATTCTTGAGGAGGAAAAGTTATTATTAGTTATTATTAGTTACTATTAGAAAAGCTATTATTACTCGCATCGTAGTTCCTTTTGACACGTTCGTATTTACTAGCTGAACATTGTATTAAACCAAGATAAATGGACAATGGATTCTATTGTCGTTAACAAGTTTCTTTCCAACTGCTTATCGAGCAAATTGTGTCAGACATACCTTTATGACAATTTCTTGTCAAAGTTCATTTAATGAAGCTAACGAGTTAAAAGGGTTGTTGTGTAAAGAAATGTAAATCGTTTTTATGTACAAGAAAGTTGCTTCCATATTAAAAAAATAGAGAAAATTAAGTAGGAATGGAAATAATACAGTAGGCTTAGACGCAAAAACGAAAGAAGTCTAATTAAAAAATGTGTGCGAAAGATAATTTTTTTGTGGTAATTAGTTTAATGGGACAATTTTATACAAGAATATCTTCAGGTATGAATAAAGTACTTCAAAGTTTATGCTTTCTTAAGCTGTTAATTAAACGATATTTTGGCAACGTTTAAGTTGCTTAAATTTACTCAGTTTTTACGAGGAAGCTCGATCCGAATTTAAAACAGGATTATATTTTATAATAATTCGATATCAATACTTTAAAGTTTCAGAAGATCTGCATTTTATAAAAATTGAAAACATAGATGTGGCGTCGAAGTATAGGTATATTTTCTTAATTTATAACACAAGGCATTATAAGATTCCTCCGACAAAATTAAATGTAAATAATTATCTTACCAACAATAAAAAAAGTCCATATGAATGTAGGGGTTTACTATTAAGACATGAGTGAGAAAGTTTTATTATTCATTTTTAATCAACCTCATTTGTGTCATATTGCACGTTTTCTAATAAATAGATTAAAAATAATATTCATCGATGAAATGCTATAACAGTTTTACTAAAAATTAACAACATACTACATAAATTATGTAACCATGTTTTATTGGATTTGGTTAATTCCATTCAAACACTTACAGATTCAAAAATAATTATAAATTTAAAAAGACAAATAGAGAAGTCACGGAAAACTTTTGCATGAATTATTTTTCTCATTTTTCGTCAGAGAATCACCTGTAAAATTTCTGTCAGTGGAATATTGCAATTCGTGCTATTAACATGGTGAAAAACTTCGATATTATCTACCTTTGTTAGACTAGAAATTTTTCATCCGATCTTCGATAATATCTCCCGTAACAATACATAATATTTCGTTTAAAACTTACCAGCGGAGCTAATAAGGTTTCCCCATACTTGTGAAAATTGGTAGAACATGAAGAATATACCGAAGAATCTTGTCACAATGATGTCGGATGCAACGTTGTTTATTTTCGAGTATGTCTTTGAGATCACAGTTAAATATGTGCACTTCGCACACCACAGTGGTGCCCCACCGAGGCCAATCAGCAAACCAGCAGGAATCATCGTGAAGAAACGAGGATAAAACTGAGCTAGGATAAAGGGCATGTAGATGATGAAGGCCACAGCCATTGTCCATTTCGCCCCAAGCCATCTAAAAGAAAAGTGCATAATTTATAAACGGTAATTTTTTACATTAATCATTAAATAATTTCGTTAAATACAGTGTAACAAAATATGAGAAATTAGTACTTTTGTCAAAAAAAAAGTCGAGGCTAATTCTTAATGTGGTTCCTAAGGTTTCAACGATCGTTGAAATATGTTTTTTATTAATAGTAACTCAATAATAATTAATTGTCCTAGAGATATTAATAATATCTAAGGTAAGTATTGAAATATATAGAATTTCTTGGCAGCTGTAATTACAATTAATGACATGCCATTTTCATAATTGGTTAAATTTATTTTAAACTAGGTATAGTGCAGTTCTTACATAGAAGCAATCTATACATAAAATTTGCACTAAACTTGACCAGTGGAGTTTCAATTATTAAAAATATTTAACGTAGGGCATCATTTTATAGATCTGGATAAACTGTTTCCATGTAATAATATAAAAACCATAACAAACAGTATTAGGATCATCTAATTTAAGCTCCTATATAAGTTACTCCCAACCCAACAGTCAAATTAATGATTATCCGGAAACTCTGAAAATGAAGATTAAGTCTTCTGGCTGGTATTTATATTTGCTGTGTGCATTGGTCTTCTCTTGCCACCCTCTACAGCCTTGAAAGAAATCTCCCTCGCACCAGGATTCTGATAATACTTAGGTTTATCGCGTGTCGTGTATCTGCGATTTTCTCCACAACTACTGATTTTTCTACGTTGTTATTCTTATGACTCGTGTGCTCTTTAAGCCTTGTGCTAACGTATGTTCCCATTTGTACTTTTCCACATGTACGCCATGCCTTGGAGTAGATCGTTCGTACAGCTTCTATTATTTTTGAGGTATTGTACGAGTAGATGGCATTAATACTGTGTTTCCTTAGGATTCAACCTACGTTGACAGTGCATTGTTCTAGATAGATCGTTACCAGATAATTTTCCTTTTCCCAAGTCTTCTTCAAGTTCAATGTTCTTGTTCGCTTTTCCATTTTGTCTAGGCGCAGATTATAGGTGCTGTATTCCTAGTGCAACTGTTCTGGCCCAAAGATGACATGTGCCTGAGATACTGATGTTTTTCCTTATAAATAAATGCTAGAGGTGGAGGTAAGGGTGAATCTATAGCTGCTCTTTTAGTTTTTTCATAAAACTGATACCTAAAGGAAAAGAAGGTCAGTTGGTGCAGAATTTTGTTGTCAATTAAGTTTTTCAAATCTAATTACACAGGTCAACATTTAGTTTGAAGAAAAACATCGGACTCTATCTAGGTACCCAGGAGTTTTTGGGGTCGTTGATTCCGATGCCGAGGTTGGTTAAGTTCTACCACGTTAAGTTCAAGGTTATTTGAAGGTTAAACTATGAAGAATTGATTGACACAATCCGAAAAAATTCATACATATGTTTTTTGGGTCGCTGTCAGTCGACCTCTATCACATCATGTTCAAGGTCATTTGAAGGTTGAAGTAAGAATAGGAGGTGAAAAAAATTGGAAACAAATTTAACGAATGCTCACCTGTCTACTTTTTTCTGTTTATCTGTCTGCCTTTCTACTTGCACACCGGTTTGTTTGCTTGTTAGTATGTATTTATCGTCCGCCTGAATTTTCTCTCTGTCCGTCTACCCGGCATCCTGCTTTTCTACCTGCATGTCTGCCGGTAATTTTGTCTATCTTCCTGTCTGACTAAATGACTAAATGTTTCTATCTGTCTGTTTTTCTGCCCCCCTCTACCTAAATGTCCATTGACAATCTGTCTGCCTCCTTGTCAGTTTGTCTTCTTACCTTTCTGCCTACCATTCTCTCTCGGTTTTGCGTGATTGTATAAAATTAGATTAAAAAAAAACTTTTGAAAGCCTTCAACAAATCAATTCGCTTCTCTCAGCATAAGTGTGTTAATTGAAATTCGGGTGAGAACGTTTACGTTGCTTGCTTTTATGTGCTTTATTTGTGTTTCTGTTTAGATTCCAGCAATAGTCTGCTAACATATTCTTCCCCCAGACACCTTGATATCTTTGCTGAAACTCATTCAGGTCCCGGAGCATTATTTCTCCTTGATCTTCACTAAAAGTTCCCAGATTTTCTGGGAACCAATTAAGATGAGAATGAAGAAAATGAAGTTTCACATTCATATGATATTTAGACAGAGTGGCAGAAAAACAGGCAGATAGAAACATTTAGTCATTTGGTCAAACAGGAAGATAGGCAAAATTACCGATAAAAAAGCAGATAGAAAGGCAGGATATCAGGAAGATGGACAGAGAGAAAATACAGGCGTACAATAAATACAGACTAACAAGCAAACAAACAGGTGTGCAGATAAAGAGACAGACAGATAAACAGCGTGAGGATCCGTAAAATTTTTCTCAAGTTTTTTCACCCCCTATTCTTACTTTAATCTTCAAATGACCTTGAACATGAGGTGATAGAGGTCAACCGAATCGGATTCAGGCCCAGCGTATGTTTTCCAGAAATTTTTCAGATTTTTTTCAACCACCTTTTCTTAGTTTGATTTTCAAATGACCTTGAACCTGACGTGATAGAGCTTAACCGACCTCGGCATCGAAATCAGTTATCTCAAAAACTCCTGGGTACCTAGGTAGAGTCCCGTGTTTTTTTTTTTTTCAATCGAGATAATTTCAGTCGAGACGAGAGATTAGAATTACCCAGCATTTGGAAACAATTCGTCCTTAAAAATTAAGATCAGGAATGGCGATGCACTGGAGTATCATGGATCTTACACCAACATATCAGCCAGAAGACTGGACTAGAGTTTCCATAGAATTCCATTTTATCAGTTTGATTTATCAGTATCAAAATGCATTTTTTAATTAATGACACATTCGTACAGAAAACGAGTGGGTCATATTTATTTCACGCAATGAAGCCGAGTATTTGGGAAAGTAATTTTAATTATATGAATTAAAAACATTTTTTGGACGCTGATAATTTAAAAAAAACTAAGATAATTTGATCTAAATCGGTTTATTTTCATTCAAGGAAATTATTCTAGAAGTATTGTCAGTTTGCCTCCTGACACTCGTATAGAACCTTCTTTAATACGTCATTCTTGGATAAAGATTAGATGTGACTACTGCATTTTTTAGTTTAGCTCAATTGTTTTTCATCCTATAGAGTTATATAACTAATTTCTTAAAGATATGTGTCAATAACAACTAAAAATAGGTAGAAAATCTGGACCTCATATTCAGAATGCTCTGTAGAATCGGTTCCTACCGCAACTAAATTTTTGTGTTAATTGTGACCAAGGATTCTGATATACATTTGATAATTGAATTAAAGTACAGTACATTAAGGTGTATCATGTTTGTGTAAAATATGAAGTGACTGGACTAAAAAAACAGTAAGTGCTGATTATTATTAGCTACATAATAGAAACGAATTAATAAAATTTCTTACCTAATAACCAAGACGGGTAGAAATATATTCGATATCAGTAATGACGCGTATATTGCTGCTAATGTGAATGTGCCTAGAGATGCTTCCGAATTGACAGAACTTTGCAAATTTGACGCTCCCCAAAATGCGGTAAAATGTATCATAAATGCAAATCCTATCAAAAGTACGTTCTTCCATATCCTCAAGTTTTCTTCTGGTCCGAATTCTCCTTCCTTTTCATCCGTCTTCACTCTTTGGAACTTAGAATCCATGACCTGCTGACCCCTGGAAAAATATTAATATATTTTAGCCTTTAGCCATGAATGTGCTAATTTTAAGGTTCGGTTCAGATTGCTAACTTCGATAAAGACCGTAGGTGCAATTAAAATCATGAATCACATTGCGGAAAAGGCAAGTGAAAGTAAATCTCGTTTCGTATTTTGTAGTTATAAGTTACCTGTATAAGTAATTTATAAATGTTTTCCCATACGAAACGCTTTGCTTGGTGATTGGGTGTGACTTGTATTTTATCTTTGCGATTCAAAACTTCAACATTGTAAATGGTAGAGCCAGTAAATTTGAATGTTTCAAACTTTTCTCAAATTACGTCATTAAATTCGTTGAGGTCATCTTTGCATAACGCACCTTTAAATTAATTTTTACAAGTAAATCCCAGTTTAAGATTGTAAGTAAACAGTTTTCCAAATTTTACGGTATAGTCTACAAGAAATTCTGCTAAATTAGAGAGAACTGAAATAAAACTTTGAAATTAATTAATTATTTGAACTGGTATTAAAAATAAGGAATTTATAATGAAATTTGTGATTTACTTTCGTTTGTTTGATGTCCTGGCTGAAACAGGAGGGATCTTCTGCAGGTTTAAAATTGCTTATTTATGATGAGGATGACAGAACCAAACAATCGAATGAATTATATTTGTTCGAATTAGAGATTTTAAATTTTAGAGTGTGAGGTAGTCACAGGACAATATAAATAAGTAGAGTTATGAAGGTGTAAAATATGCAGGCTATTTATGGCTTCAAAAACTGAATATTTTTATTAGGCAGGTAATTTTAAAATCGAGAAGTAAAGCTACGAAAATCTGGAAAGCATTTTCTCCATTTTAATTTAATTTTCTTCGGAAATATTTTTATGATCATATCTTTGAAACAATTAACAGGGTAAAAGCTGCTAAATAGTATTTCACGATTTCTTTCACTTTTATTTTAGACTTTTATACGCATCATTTCTTCCCCTATTTTTAACTTATCTACATATATAGTGACATCTTTCACATCACGTTATCGGAAGCGACAATTCGAAATGATATATTTTGCATTATACTTCCTTAATTTTGCACAAAACGATCGAAAATAAAAAAAGAATTTATGATAGTTATCAATTCGACTAATAAAAATATGTTCTGAAACAACTATTTGCAGCCAAGGAAACTGTACTGGAATAATTTAATTCGTTTTTTACAAATATATCACCCATTTAAGCACCAGTTCCATATGATCTGTTAGCTTTGCAGATTCAATTTTAGTACTGCAAGATTTGTATTGCCTTAATAAAAAAAATGGATGTAACGTTTTCCTGTTTCGGAAGGATCGGAATAAACAAAAAGTAAATAATTTTTATTATCAGGAGATAAATTCGGCAACCCAAAGCCTAGAAAGAAATATATCCTTATGCAAATGGACAGATACTTCATTGCTTTAATATGTATTTGACTACGTATTTGACTTTTATTTAATGATTAATGTCTAAAAATATATCAAAAATATGAGTGAAAACCACATATATTTATGGGTATATATATAGGGTGAGTTATTAATAATGGTACATAGCTTAATGACAGATCGAAATATAGCGATTGAGTCAAACATGCCTTAATCAATTGTTGCTACTTTTCGTTCTCCAGGGTGTTGAAGTTGAAAAAATATTTTCAATTTTCTGCTATATTTTAAGTATGTATGGACCGATTGTTTTGAAAATTTGTAGTTTTGCGTTTTCTGAGGTGACAAATACGAATGTTCAAACAGGGTTGGGGTCACATATAGGGGGCGCTAGTTATACTGTCCTATCAATGTAAAAATATGTCTAACTTTTTGTATTTTACAATTTTGAATTTTTTTACTGGAAATTATTGAACTACGTTCAATTTCAAATAAAATAGGTATACTTGTTATAAATCGATAAACTCCATCGTTTTCGAGATACAGACGTTTTAAGTTTTTCAGATTTGGCGGGAATTAAATTTAAAAAATTAGCAGGTCTTAAGATACCAATCCTGAATTAAGAATTAAGAGAAACATTACAGCAACTGAAAATTTTATTATGCATATCTTAACAAATTATTAATCATAAAAGATTCTCAAAGCAACCACCACCGACTTCAATACACTTTCTTAGCCTTCTACTTAATTTTTGTCCGACGATAAATAAAGTTCTATGTTGTTTCCACAGTTGTTCTCGACTATTAATATGTTTTTGTATACCAGAGATAAGATAGCCCCAAAAGTAAAAATCGGGGCTACGTGTAGGCCAAGGTACAAGGTACTTCGCTAGCCCGTCCAATCCAACGATGCGGAAAATTTCTATTAAGATATTCTGTTACTACTCGGGTATGATGCGCTACTAATTTATTATGTCAATGCCTACTACTTTTGAAAAAATAATTTTCTAATTTAATTCCCGCCGAATCTCAAAGACTTAAAACGTCTGTTTCTCTAAAACGATTGAGTTTATCGATTTCTAACAAGTATACCCATTTTATTTAGAATTAAACGTAGTTAATTTCTAATTTAAAAATTTTAAATTTTAATATACAAAAAGTTAAGCATATTTTTACATTGATAGCACAATATAATTAGCGCCGGCTAGACGTGACACCAACACTGCATATTCGTATTTGTCACATCGAAAAACATATAACTACCAATTTTCAAAACAATCGATACGTACATACTTAAAATATAGCAAAAAATCGAAAATATGTTTTTAACTTTAACACCTTGTAGAACGAAAAGGAGCAACAATTTATTCAGGCATGTTTGGCTCAATCGCTATATTGTGACGTTAATAAATCTGCCATTAAGCTGTGTATCATTATTAATGACTCATCCTGTATTTTGCAACAATATTGTCAAATCCTTATGAAATAAATATTCTAATAAAAATATGTTTGCCATAAAAGTGGCCAGTAATTTTGTTTAAAACAATAGTTTTTTCCAAACGATGGTAAAACACAACATTCCTTTCACTGGCTCGGATTGGTCTAATTTCTAATTCTTCACATTTCATTAGCCAATCGGCGGTCGAATTTCATCAGGCATAGCCGCAACAGTTTGTTATTGTTCATTATAAACGAATGATTATGACTGTGTATGATTGTGTATGTTTTAGACACTGATAGCATTTCTCCTAAGTTTGTGTTTGACAAACTCTATACAGTACTCATCAAAAACGAGGAGGAGACCGACAGTAAGGGTGTAACTAACAGGCACAGGATGTGGGATCTATTCTAGATTTCTACATATTCGATATCAGTGGGCTATGCATGTACGTACCATCGTGATACAAGCGGAACTGGTAGGTATATCTGGTAAAGAAATTGCCCGTAGGTAGGTAACGGGCAAAATTATTATATCTACGCAGATAGTAGGCAATCAATACGGATCTAGTATAATCGGAAGAAGGGCAAGCCTTCGCTTGGTGACGGGTATTCAGACCGAACACTGTTGGCTAAGGAAACACCTCTTCATATGAGGCAGTGCGAAACACCTGTCTGTAGAGGTTGTAAGCAAGAACACGAGACAGTTTTCCATGTACTCTGCGAGTGCACTGGTGTCTCATCACCGAGAGAATCCGTGCTAGGAGAACGGTGGCCTTCTATGGACTACATCAGAGAAATCCCCCTGAACAACGTCATCACCCTTTTCTCCTTGATAGGCTGGTTGACGGCTCAGGAGAGGTGATCTCTCGCTGGGAGGACGCACAAGGGCTCCAATGGGGCCTAAGTGCTGTAGCATACCTACTGAGCTACCCTCCAAACTATTCCAGAATCCAGAATGTTTAAGTTGCATCATAGCCGTGTCTGTTATCATTTGAATACATTTTCTGCATCATTTTGTTATTACCTTTTGCTTCAATGTTAAATCGTATATATTTCAAACTAATTACTTGTTTTCACAGCTAACTTTTTGGCATTTCGTATTACTGGTAAGTTAATAATTAATAATATTTATATTTCAGAACGAATTATGCCTTATTGAAATGGCTCATTTTCAGAGTGGGGCTCGAAATGAAGACTGGTCATAGATATAATCTTTGCAATCCTGAATAGGATAGGTAAATTATTTTTGTAAAAAATGCAAATAGTGTCTATCGCCACGGTAACTTAGTCGATTGAGCACGCGAGCAAGCATTTCTCGGCCAGACTCCCTATTCTGGTTCAGATTCGATCGCAGACATCGGCACTGGCAATGTCGATGGATAATGGGTGTTTGTCCGCGTTTTTTCAAGTGTAGCTCCCTTTGGCTTTGGGTTTGGGGGTTGTCTCATTTCTATGGTGTGTTCGTTTAATAACCATGCATGAACGTCGAACCCTTGCAGTATAATCTTCTGATTGCAATGCAAGCTACGGACGGAAATGCTCCTCAGAGAATGGTTGTCCTCTGAGATGTTCCGTAATGGTCTATGTACTTGGTCGCATTCAGTACTTTCAAACGTTTCGCCGTCCTTCATATTCGGCATATTCATTGGTGACTTTGTAAAAGTCTTTTCCCGACTGAGGCCGTTTGCGACCTCGTCACCGATCTTATAATGTCGGTGTCATTGTGCGCGCATCTAGGCCTGCATATTGCAGTGGTGGAAGTTGGATGGGAATTCCCTATTACGTTGTCGATGGGGGTAGAGGGTGGGCGCGGGCGGCGTGTCTCTACCCCTATTGTCTTAGCTTCATCCGCAGCAGTCTTAGAAGCAACAGCAAGAATCGAAACCAACTTTAGGGCGGACTTACAGGTTATGATAGCGAGTCCGCATTCACAGAGCTTAGCCCAAGAACGACAAAGGCAGTTCACAGATTCTTAGTTAACTATAAGCCAAAATGTAAATCTGTAAGTGGCAGTAACCAGGTACATAGAACACGGCATAACAACCCAAAAAATTGTGGTATTGCGGTATCAGCCGAGAAAGCTTTAAAACTACTACCAATATGGATACAATTGGTCTTCATTAGCTTCACGAGAAATATTGTGCTGCATGTCTTCATGGATTGCTTT